GGGGGTGTTGGTGGGGTTATTGGGGGTTATGGACTCCCAGAAGAAAAAAAAAAAACTATGGGGATATTTTTTCCTTTTTTTTTTGGGGTGCCGACGACCCCCGACGGTAGGTGCCGACCAGCCGACCGGTCGGCAGCCAACCAGTCAAGGGGTGCCACCCGTCGGGGTATGCAACACTGAGGACGAGGGTATTACAAAACAAAAAAAAAAAGGAAGAAAGAAAAGGAGGAGGGTAAAGAAGAGTGGAATAGACAACGTACGTACCTGTACATAACCCACAGCACCATCCCAACTTTCATCTGGATCAGAAAACACCGGGACAATGTTCACCCCTGAAGCTCTCCAGATCCTGAACCGATCCTGCGGGGAAGACATCCCATTTCCACACAAGACATCACATAATGAACACAATAATCCCCCTTCCGACTGCGGTGTATGAGGCACACAAGAAGAAGAGGAGGGAGGGATTTACCAGCCGGTACGAGTACATCCAACACCCCCAACTTGTCCGACATATCAATCTCGAGCATATAGCGGACATGCCCCCATCCGTACTCCCCACCCGTCCTTGCACCCACGGCATGCTCCAAACCTCATTGACGAATACATGCGAAACCCCGACCTGAAATATCAATCTCCAACATACACCAGACATGCCCCCATCCCCAACGCCTCCCCCCCCCACATTCTTCCCTCGCGCACATGCCATGCTGCAATCCCCCTCTCTCCCTCCCTCCCTCCCTCCCTCCCTCCCTCTCTCTCTCTCTCTCTCTCTCTCTCTCTCTCTCTCTCTCTCTCTCTCTCTCTCTCTCTAGCGGGCATGTGTGACTGCTCTTTCTGGGTGCACATGTCTGTCTTGCATAAGGCTAAACACTAGGACAAAAAAAAAGACACCTGTGCCGTTCATCCGATTTTCACCAACTCATCAGGAGGCTGAACCTGGACAGTCTGTGCAGGAAGATAAGTGGGATGGGACTCGCCACATACACCTGGACAGTATACCCAGGATCCATTTGACTGGCCGATAGGGACTCGCCAGCTTGAGCGTATGTCCGTCTTCTTTACACTCCCCATTCCCCGTGTACACACGGACAGCATGTCGTAAACCCCCCATTGACATTTCCCCTCCCCCTCCCATGGCATCTTGCCACCCCCCTCTGATAACCCCTTTATCCCATCTCGTTTTTGAAGCCTTGCATTTCAGTGTTCTGGTCACTCCCCATCCCCCCCCCCCCATATACACAGACGGCATGTCGTCAAGCCCCTTGACCTTCCCCCTCCTCCCACCCCCCACCCCACTGTATCTTGCCAACCCCACCTAACACTCCCCTTCATCCCACTTTTTTTTTTTTTTTTTTTTTTTTTTTTTTTTTTGAAAGAAAGGCCCTTTGTGCAAGACCTCTATCCTGGTGGTGGTAACCCTTCATCCCACTTTGTCTTTGAAGCTATCTGGAATGCTCACCTGATAGGCCATCTTGCTTGAATTCGCCGCACCATAATATAGTCGTACATCTGTTCTCTTGAGCGCATCGAATCCAGACTCTATGAGAGCTCTTATAGGGCTTATGCAGATAGAAAAACACAAAAAGGCATCCCCAAAAAGAAAAGCCACAGTCAGCCAAGCACAAAATACCATTAAGCACTCAGATAGTAGGCGAGCGCCATGCAAAGTAGGCCCCTAGCACATGTATTCCCACAAAACCCCCCTAGCATGCATATTCAATGTCCTTTTTTTTTTCTTTTTTTTTTTGCCCTCCCACAACCCCCTAGCATGCATATTCAATGTCTTCTGCACAGGCCTTAATCACCATTCATGTGGTGTGACCTTGCCACACCAAGCCCAGTAGGCACAGTACCATATTCCAGTGAAGAATGCCAAGCCTTGCCCGCCGGACACTATTTAGGCCAGAGGTAGTTTGGACTTCCTGTCATTTTATTGCCCTGCTGTTTCGTTCCTCCGTATCTGCATTTATTTTTTTCTTTTTCTGTTTTTTTTTTCTTTTTTTAA